AGCTGAAGTTGGACATTCAACCAACTGAGCCACCCAGGCGCTCCTGAGATAGATATTACGAACAATCCCCATTCTGCTAGTGAGAAAACTGAGGGGTTAAAGAAATCAAACTGGGGCGCCTGGATGGCTCGGACAGTTAAGCGTCTGACTCTTGGTCGCAGCTCAGGTTGTGACTCACGGTTTGTAAGTTAAAGCCCTGTGTCAGGCTCTGCGGTGAGGAGCCTGCTTGGGATTCTCTCTCTCTCCCTTTCTCTTTGCCCCTTCCCCCGCCAAAGAAATAAACTTAAAAAAAAAAAAAAAAAGATACCAAACCGAGTGGTGATTCAGGGTGGAGCCAGGTGACCCCAGACGTCAGTTAGTGCGAGTCATTTTGTTGTTGACTACATGTGGTGTGTGCTCACTCGTGCTGCGTGTGTACATAAGTGATGTGTGACCATGTCTGTGGAAGGTGGGGAGATATAGGAAGCCCCCACATGTGTCTTCAGAGCATGAGTGGGTCCATGAGGCCGAGATCTTCAGCCAGTGGGAGCAGTCGTGGCTGACGGATGCGCCAGAAGGAGGGGACCTGGGTTGATGTTTGGAAGCTGGCACTGAGATCACCCCATGGAAGGTTCACCCCAGGTGCCTGAGAGAGGAGGCTCGGAAGGTAGGAGAGGCTAGACTGTAAAGGCCCCCAAGTGGGTGCTGTGGGCGGTGGGGAGCCAGGCAGAGTGTGGGGTAGGAACCGAACTCGCCTTGTGCGTTTAGAGAGCTGGGCTCCACTGCAGGCCAGGCCGAAGGCTGGGGGCTCTGTCCCACCAGACACCTTGTCTGTGCCAGGCCTGGGACCTAGGTGGACCCCGGCGCGGGGAGATGTGAACCTGTCAGCCCATTGTTGCCTCTGTGCAATTCCTGGATGGGGGAGTGAATATTTTCACCAGAGCCCCAGCTCTCAGGGCATGGAAGGGGCTGGCAGGGGGGTGGTAATTGGGAGTCTTGGGCTGCATGGGGACCCCTCTATATGCCATCCTGCTGTGGGAAAAGCTGCTTCGACCCAAAAGGTAATTTGGGGTGGGGGGAAGGCAGAATGACAGAAGGTGCCTTCCTGTGCCTAAGGACACATCCTGTCTGTGCCAGCCCTGCTCACCTTGTGAGAGTTGTGCCAGTCTGGTTTTGTTCACTGTGCAGCTCTTCAACAGCCCAGACGACTGGGCACCTGGAGGGGCGTTAGCCAGCAGACAGCCGCTCTGACTATTCTAGGAAAGGCCTGGAAGGCAGGCCCCCTCTTAGGCACCGGGGCCAAGTGGCCTGCTACCCCATGAGCAGGAGAGGAGGAGGGAGAGATTGGTCCCGAGGCAGATGCAGGAGCCCCACTTGTCCGCATTCTGGCTCCGTGGCCCTGGAGAGATGCCTCAGAAGTCCAGTGACCTTTGCAAAGCGAGCTCTACCTGGTGCCCACCTCCAAGAGTGGCTGAGGGAATTGTAGCAGGTACCACAGAGGGCTTCGGAGCACAGTGCCTGGAAGGAAGTGCCTAGGAAAGCCTAGCAGCTGACAGCTTTGCAGACGCCCCTTGCCACCACTCTGTTGGGCATTCTGCTTGTCTGGGTAGTAAGTGGTGGGGCTGATTTTGGCCTCTAGGTTTCCCTCATCCTCACCACAGTCATTTAGCACACATCGGCCAGGCAACCTCCTGGGGCCAGAGCTGGAGACCCCCGGATGAGCTGGACAGGCTAAACTCTGGGGACACTAAGCCATTACTGTAGTGCCCAGAGGCCCTAACCCAGCTGGAGGATGGGGAGCAGAAAAGGCTTCCAGAGGAGGCACCTGAGGGCAGGTGTCAGCTGGGCAGAGGGGGCAGGGTACCCTGGGCAGAGGGCCTGACCTGTGCAAAGGCCTGGGGCTCCCCAGAGGTCTTGCTCAGGAAGCCCAGGAGCCTCACTGCCTTTTCAGAAGGATGGACTCTGTGTATGTGTCAGAGGCCCACCCCTGCTACCTCCCTTGGGAAGAATGTGACCACAGAACGTGGCTTAAATGGTGGAAGCTGGGCAAGATGGATTGTTCCCCCCACATCCTGGAGAAGGGCCACCGGATAGCCCCTGCTGACCCTGGGTCACCCACACTGCCTCTGTCCAGTGGGCCAGGGAGAAAATCGTTAATGGGAGGCTGGCTTCTGGGGCAGGGCAGCTCCCCTTGGGGACCCAGGGTAAGGAGATTGGTTTGACCTTTGGTCGATAAGGTCTCCTGTGAGCAGGAGGAGAGTTGGAGGACAGGGAAGGAGTCTGGAGGCCTGCCCTTGGGGGAGGGGACAGGGCCAGGCTACCTCAGGAAGTCATACCAGGAAGGTCGAGGGCCGTGGGTGGGGGGGGTCTTGAGGACATGCGCCCACCAGGTGTGAACCTCAGGGGCCGATGGAGCTTTTCCCTCCCTGAGCATCAGGATATGGAAGGGGGTGGGTCCCAGGCGTCAGAGCCTGGCTGTGAATGGTGACAGCGGCTGGCCACGGAGAATAGAGGAAGTAAAGGGCGTGCACCCTTGGTGGGCCTTGCACCACTGGCCGTGTGGCTCAAAGCCTCAGTTTCTACATCTGTTAAATGGAGGTGGTAAGCATCCCCATGCTGCAGGGGTGTCTGGAAGGACCGGAAGCAATAGCATCTTCCCAAAGTGTGATTTGCGAGGAGAAGTGCCCTGCGTGTAGGGACGAGGAGTGTGATCTGAGGGTGTTTCCGGAGAGGATTCACGGTGAGCCTCTTAATGCCCCTTGGGTTCCCTCACTCACACCTACTGAGAGCATACTCTGTGCTAGGCCCTGTTCTAAGACTTCCATGTTTCATCTGCAGGGCAGCCCGTGACGTGGGTGTCACTGTCATCCCTCTCGTTTTCTATGTGAGGAAACTGAAGTACAGAGGGGTTAGTGACTTGCCTGGGGTCTCTTAGCTAGTGAGTGGCGCACCCCTGGGTTTCGAATCTGGGACCTCCTCCCGATCGTGCCGGAGGGGCAAGTGGGGCCCAGCCAAGTGGGGCTGAATGAAGGGCTTTGGGGCCATAACTGGGGCTTACTCTGCCGTTGCCTGTACTGTGTGACCTTGTCAGTTTAGCTTTGGGGCCTCAGTTTCCTCACCTGTAATGTGGGATGATACTTCCACCCCGAGGATGATAGTGAAGGTTAAATACTGTGGTCCTGCTGAATTGCTTGTGGGGCCCAGGCCAGCGTCGGAGGACATGTGTAAGTCAGCTTGGGGACAGAGACCCTGGGCCGGGCACGGGGCGTGCGATGAGGAAAACACAGTTCCTGCCCTTGGGAGCTCACAGTTGAGAGGTGAGACAGTTGCTTGGGCAGCCCTGGTCCCTGGAGCCCTGCCCTGGGCTGAGTGGGGCCATACTGTCATGGGAATGGGGTTCTGCATGCCTAACATCGTGTCAGACCTCATGGGCACACAGAACAAACCGAGAACACTGTCCGGGCTTCAAGAATAATTCAGTTCAGATGGAATGGGGCAGATGTACATTTAGGAAAGGAAAGCATAGGAAAACCTAATTTAATACTAAATGGAATGCCAGAACCCCACATCTTTTCAATGTTCATTTGTTTATTCATCCATGCATTCAATAAATATTTGAGTTTCTACCATGCTACGTGCTAGGGATATAGCAACAAGCAAGAAAGAGACAGCCCCAGCTTTCATGGTGCTGTCAGCCTAGTCAGGGGGAGCCAGACAAAAACCAGATAAATAGAAGTCATGTCAGGTTGGTCAGTGTTAGAAAGAAAAAAACAAAGCATGATAGAGAGATGGAGAGTGACAGAGGAGTGGGGGCTGCTTCAGAGAAACAGTCAAAGAAGGCCTGTCTCAGGATGTGACACTGAGCAGAGACCCTAATGAAGTAAAGGGGCCAGAATGTATAAATCTGGGAAAGAATATTGAAACCAAGGAAAAAGCATGTGCAAAGGCCCCGAGGCAGGTATGTTTTGTGTTTGGAATCCTCAGCAACGTAATAAGGCAGCCAGTGTAACTGGTGGTGAGGGAGTGGTAAAAGATGAAGGTGGGGGGGGGGGCTCATCATGAAGGACCTTGAGGCCGTGGTGGGGACCTTTGTCGAGATGTGATGGAAGTTCTGGAGAGTGTGAAGAGGGAGGATTATACTAAGTGACTGGGTTTGGTGGAAGACAGACTACCAGGGGGCAAGAATGGGAACAGGATACTGGCGAGGAGGTGGCTGCAAGTTGTCCAGGTGAGAGGCCATGTTCAGGAAGTGAGACTGGAGAGTTGTATGTCGGCATAGCCAGAGGCCGCTTCCTGGAGGATGTGGTCAGACATGAACTAAACCTCTGGGGATACGGGGACTTTTGGTGGGAGGTGCAAAATGAAGTCTTCTCCAAGAGCGGCCAGTGGTGTGGGCAGATGCTGGGCGAGTGTGGGTGAGCATGAGGACTCTCTGGACATGGAGAGGAGAGTCCCCGGCTCCTGGGGACGAGTGACAGTGGATTTTGGCCCATTCCTTCCCAGGGTGACTTGTCACCCTCTGTCCTTCCCGGCCGTGCACCCAAACGACAGTGATATGCCCACCACACTTCTCCCATCTCCGTGTCCATGTTGGTATTTTACTCCCCACTTGCTCGCTTTATCCTCATGGCCACCCTGGAATGTGGTCGGGGTCGGGGCTCCGCTCTGCCGTTTTACTGGGAAGGAGTCGGTGTGGCCAAGGTCAAATGCTCCATGTTGCTTCCTTTAACTTGGTGCTGTGGTGGAAAGATGGCAAGTGTGGTTGTCCCGTAGACCTAGGCCTGATTCTTAGCTTTGCCACTTCCTGGCTGGGCCCCCTTGGTCAACTTGCCTCACCTCTCCGAGACTTGGTTGCCTCATCTGTGAAACAGGGGTGGTAACAGGGCAGGTATGAGTCTGGGCCAAGGCCTCATACAGAGCCAGCACACAGGGGCTCTGGCTCTTTGCTGTGAATGCAGCTCCTATCTGCAGGGGACCTAGGACCTCCCAGGTAGATCACTGATGCCCCTTTCCCTGCCCAGGTGCTGGCGGCCGAGGAGAACGTGGACTTCCGCATCCACGTGGAGAACCAGACGCGGGCTCGGGACGATGTGAGCCGTAAGCAGCTGCGGCTGTACCAGCTCTACAGCCGGACCAGCGGGAAGCACATCCAGGTCCTGGGCCGCAGGATCAGTGCCCGCGGCGAGGACGGGGACAAGTATGGTAGGTGCCGGCCCCGCCCCCCTAACTGGGCCCCTCTGAGACCTCAGGTTCAGATCCCAGCTCTGCCGCGTCCCGGCTGTGTATCTTGCACCTGGCACCGAGCCTTTCTGGCCTTCAGGTTCCTCATCTGTAAAATGGAGCTGCAGTAAGTAGTGTATCCCCTGAGAGCCTTTGTGGGGCACTAACTGAAGCTGTGAATCAAAAGTGCTTTTGCCGGCAAATGCCAGTGGTCGTGGGTAGCTGCTCCCCGTGGCCTTGCTTCACCAGCCCCAGGTTCAGGTGCTTGGAGAGCGGGGAGTCTCTAGGGAATGTTATTTGGGTGCTGCCGGTGGTGCTGGAAATCGGCCTGGGGTGAGGGTGGGTGCTCCTGTGTGCAAATGGGTGTGTGTTCTGCGAGCTTGAGCTTGAACACCTGTGAGGAATGGGAGCGCTCGCTCTTAGCACCTTGGGCTATGGTCCCTTTGACCTGCCCTTGACCCCGGAACTGTCCAGCCCTCCTCTGAGATGTTTGGGAACCATCACTCGCCTCATGCTGCCTCTGCAAGGGGGCTGGGAGGAATGAGACACCCTGACCCCCTTCCCTCCCCAGGCCCCCTGCCCACAAAGACCCTCAGCAGTAAGAGAAACAGGACTCTAATTTCCTAGAGCTTGGAGTGGATCTTGGGAGAGGCACTGAGCAAATACTGACCTTGCCCCATGGGTTCTTGCCTTCTTAGGCCAGGATTTGGGTGGGAGGTGTCCCGGGCCCCGGCCTTGGGCAGGGGAGCTGGGGCTGTGGGTGGCCAAGGCATGGGCCTGGGACCGGGGTCCTGTGTATGCACTGTGGGACTGCCAGCCTAGGCTTTTCTGGGATGATGCCCCCCGCCTGCCCGCCGGCCCCTGCCCATTGCAGTCAAGACGTGACAACAAGACAAATAATTTCTTGGACCTTTTATCTTGGACACCATTTATTTTCCCTCCGCCCCAGGGCAAGACTGACCTCATGGTAGGGCCCAAGTGCGGCAGCTGCACCGTCACTGGGGGCTGGGGCCGGCCAGGCCGGGCAGGGCTGGGCCGGGCCGGGCTCCCCGTCTCCAGGCCAGCTGCCTCCCTTCTCCCTGTGCCGTCACTCTTTACTGCCTCCGTTCCCCTCCCTCCCTCCCTCTTTCCCCTTCTTCCTTTCTCAGTCTTGCTGCTGGTGCTGCTGCTGCTTTCAACCGGCCCCTCTCTCTGAGTCCTTCTCCTATCCTTCTGGGTACTCATCCCTTCCCCTCTTTGTTTCTGTCCACCTCTTCCCCCCACCTCCCCACCATCTCTGCCCTCCCTGCCTCCCTCCCTCAGACCACAGCGCTCCAGTCCCTCCGCCCCACCTCTCTCAGGTCCTCTGCTGGCTGCCTCTCAGGGGCCTCTGTCTCTCTGTGCCCCCCGCTGTGCTGGGCAGACCCAGGTGGTGCTTTTCCCTGGGATCTGCTGTCCTCTTGCTGCCAGGGAAGGGGCAGCTGGCCGGCCAGGCGGGAGGAGGGTGCCCTCCTGGGGAGTCCCCGGAGCTCTCACTGGCCCCTCCAGGCTGGGAAGAGTAGAGGGGGGTCAGACTCTGGTCTGAGCCATCTGTCCACGCCCTGAGACAGGAGGTAGGAGCTCGGGAGGGAGAGGAGCCCAGAAATGGCCACCCCCTCATCCAGAAGTTACTTGCCTCTCACTTCCTCTGCCTCAGCCAGAGACTTAGGGGATCTCACCTGCTGCGTGACGTCAGGCAAGCCCTTCGCCTGCTCTGGGCCTCAGTTTCCCATGTGTACAATACAAGGGTTGGACCAGAGCAGTGCTTCTTAAACATGAACATGCCTGTGAATCACTCAGGGACCTTTTTAAATGCTGATACTGATTTGGTGGGTCTGGAGTGGGGCCTGAGCGCTGCATTTCTAACCTGTGCCCAGGTGGTGTGCAGGGACCGCACTTTGAGTATCCAGGAACTAGCCCGTTTTGGCTTCTCCAGCTCCACAAACCCCAGATTTAATCACTCTCTCTCAAGGAATATGTTTATCACTCCTCCACCCCCCTGACACCCAGGGCAGCGTGGGGCTCTGCTGACTGAGGAGGCTGCTTCATTTAAGTGTCGCATTAGAAACGCAGATGAGGCGAAGGGACCCCATCTGTGAGCCCTGGGAGAGGAAGTGAGACAATGGAGCCAATTGAGGCTTCCAATCTAGATAATCAATACAAATATTATTGGGAGGGTGATTTATGTGGCCAAGCCAGCCTGGAGGATGGGGCTGTGTTAGGGGCCTGCCCTGCCTGTGGGGGGATGGGCAGCCAGTAGCCCCCAGCCAGGCCGGTGGCGGTGGGCGGGGGGGGGGGGGCCTCCCCGGACAGTCCGAGAGCCTGCTCCCTCCTTCTCAGGACTCTGTGCAGCTGAAAGAATGATGCAGCCCACGGCTTCCATCTACGTGCAATTATAATGCAGTCGGGGACTTGCGGCAAACACCAAGTATAAACAGAATCCCCATGAACACATGGAGTCTGGAACCCCGACAGACACTCATGGCCTCAGATTCAGTGGCGTCCAGAGGTGTTAGACTCTGGGCGGGCCCAGGGCACAGGCCCACCTTAGTCTGGGTGCCCTGCCCAGGAGCTCTTGGCCTGCTGTCCCCATGAGCAGTCTTTGGTGAAATCTGCATGGAGGGGAGCACACCCCCACACCATGCTGCTCTGCAAGAGGGTCTCCCCATGACTCCCTAAAGCTTTCCCAGAGCACCTGAGGGCCCTGCGGGTGGGCCAGGCTCTGGCCAAGAATGGGAGCCAGGAAGTTGGAAGTTTAAGTCGTGGGACACCTGGCAGGCCAGTGGCTCAGGACCTGGTCACCCTGCCCACCTGGGGTTCTTACAGCAGCCTCTCCCCTTCCGGCTCTTGGTCCTGGCCCCCTCTGCCTTATCGGCAGTCACCATGTTGAAGAAACAGCACCAGACCATGCAGGACACCTGGGTTTTGTTGCAGCCATGCCACTGAGCAGCCCGCGGAGCTTGGGGCAAGCTTGTCTGGCTCTGGGCTCCACTTCTTCCTGTGCCAAGTGAGGGTGAGAAAGCCACACTCCACCTGCCTCTGGGATGGATGCACTTAAGCCCTAGGTGTGGAGGCATTAGATCCTCTTGGCCGTGGGAAGCAGGGCTGACAGTGACAGAACTGGCGTTTTAGAAGGGGAGGGCTGGGACCAACTGAGTCTGTGCTCAGGGAGCAGGGAGGGACCCTGGCACCGGGGGTGGTGGCGTGGAGGTGACTCTGCTTTGATATGCACTCTATGATTGGATATTCCTGCCGGTTTTCATTTGAAAAAAAGGTTTTTCTACTTGAGGAAAAAAAAAAAAATGGTAAGCACAAACCCAACATGTTGCAGAAGGCCAGGCTCCCAGGACTGACTGTGCTCGGAACAGCCCCTGGCAGGCCACTGGAGGGACTGTGTTAGCCAGGAAGGTGATCTTTGGAGGAGTCGAGCAGGTAGACTCTGGAGTTGGACAAGATTTGAGTCTAGCTCCCCCACTTGCGAGCTCGAGACCTAGGATCTGAGTTAGCCTTTCTGGTCCTGTTTGCTCTTCTGTGAAGTGGGGTGATGGGAAAGAGAGCATATCTAATGCTCAAAGATTGTATGATTATTAAAGCAAAAATATAAGTAATAACTGCTTGAACTCGGTGCTGTTGTATGGGGCTGGGGGTGCCATCCCGGGCTCTGGTGGAGGTTCCCCTCTCAGGAACTGATTCCTGGGGCTTCCAGAAAGAACCTTGTCTCTCTCACTCATCAGTGGGGCCCTGGCAGGTCAGCTGCAGACTTAAGAGGCTTCTTCAGCACGATTCCAGGCAGCGGGACTGCCTGTTCGGGCTGCTGTCTGGCCAGAGGAAGAAGGGTCTTTGGACCTTCTTGTTGGGTGTGGTCTGCTCTTTTCTTAGTTTGAACTGGGGTCCCTCACTCACTCGGCACAGAATTACTGAGCCCTTGGGACCCGGTGGTAAGACACCTGGTCCCAGCCTTCAAGCTGCTCCCAGGCCAGAGACTGTGCTCCCTCTCAGCGGTTGACTCTGAGTAGGAAGAGTCTAGTTCTCTAACCTCCAAGTGTGACCTTGGGTCCTCCTCATTCCCTCCCTGAGTCTGGGCTTCTTCACCATGAATGGGGGCTGGGTGCGGGGGGGTGGAGTTAGCAGTCTGATGGCTTCCTCGAGAGCTCAGGCATGGATCAGTCTGTGACTCCAGCTGTGGTATTGCTGTGCGGGATCATGAGGACTCAGCCTGTCCCGGCATAGGCCTGCTGAGCTGGGCCAGCTTCCTGCATCCCTTGCTCAGCCTTGCCCCTCTGAGAACGCGAGCCCCTTGGAAATAGTGACCCTTCTGCATGTCCCCATGTCCAGTACAAGGCTTGGCAGAAAGCAGGTCCCCACTTAAAGGTTGCTGGATGAACGTATAAAGTAATTGTGGGGCGACTCAAAGCATAATCGGGGACTGACTTGTGTGGCTCACATCGAAAGACATGTGGGGTGTTCCAGGGCTTTTGCTGAGCAGATGACAAGAGCCGGGGTGAGGTGGGGTCCTCTGGTCTGCATTTCCTTCACTCTGGCATCTGCTGGAGGGCTGTGGTGGAGAAACGAGCAGCAGGGACCCCCTACTCTCTGAGTCTGATGCCCATAGCCCCTTCTCCACATAGCAGTCTGAGATGTGAGACTGTGTCACAGCATTGTCAAAGGCGCTTGTCTTACTGAGATTAAAATCCCAGTTCTTGGGTCAGCAGGAAAGCGCGGAATGGCCTGGCTCCTGGCTACCACTCAAGCCTTGGCTGCACTGCCCCTTCCTTGCCCACACAGCTCCGGCCCCAGCCCCTCCCTGCCATCCCCGGACCATGTCAAGCATGTCCCCGGCTAAGGCCCTTTGCATTTGCTGTTCTCTTGACCTGATGGGGCTCTTCTCCCAGACACCCTCATGGCTTGCTCCCTGACTTCACTCAGGCTTCTGTTCAATTTTCTTCTTATCAGAGACTTCCCGT